GTACACACAATGTGTGTGTGTATATATATATATATATATATATATATATATATATGGCTCAAAATTAAAGAAACATTTTGAAAATACATCAGATCTCAATGAGGAAAAATATCATGCTGGATATCTATTCTGATATGGACTGGGTAATGTGTTAGGAATGTAAGGATGCACCATCATTTGATGGAAATGAAAAATTATCTTAATCTACAGGGGACTGAATTCAAAGACACTCCAAAAATCAAAGTGCAAAAAGTTATCCAGCAGGCGAGTCCATTTTGCTGAAATTTCATTGGAGCAACTCAAAATGGTACTCAGTAGTTTGTATGGCCCCCACGTGCTTGTATGCATGCCTGACAATGTTGGGGGCATGCTCCTAATAAGATGATGGATGGTGTCCTGGGGTATTTCCTCCCATATCTGGACCAGGGAATCACTGAGCTCCTGGAAAGTCTGAGGTGCAACCTCGTGGCATCAGATGGACCGAAACATGATATCCTAGCGGTGTTCTATTGGATTTAGGTCAGGTGAGCATGGGGGCCATTCAATGGTATCAATTCCTTCATCCTCCAGGAACTGCCTGCATACTCTCCCCACATGAGGTCAATCATTGTCATGCACCAGGAGGAACCGATGACTCACTGCACCAGCATAGGGTCTTACAGTGGGTCCAAGGATTTCATCCTGATACCCAATGGCAGTCAGGGTGCCATTGTCTAGCCTTTATAGGTCTGTGCATCTAACCATGGATATGCCTTCCCAGACCATCACTGACCCACCACAAAAACGGTCATTCTGAACGATGTTTCAGGCAGCATAATGTTCTCCACGGCTTCTCCAGACCCTTTTACATCTGTCACCTGCTCTCATCTGTGAAAAGCACAGGGCACCAGTGGCAGACCTGCCAATTCTGGTTTTCAATGGCAAATGCCAATCAAGCTCTATGGTACCAGGCAGTGATCACAGGGCCCACTAGAGGACGTCAGGCCCTCAGGCCACCCTCATGAAGTCTGTTTCTGATTGTTTGGTCAGAGACATTCACACAAGTGGCCTGCTGGAGGTAATTTTGTAGGGCTCTGCTAGTGCTCATCCTGTTCCTCCTTTCAGAAAGGAGCAGATACTGGTCCTGCTTATAGGTTAAGGACCTTCTACGGCACTGTCCAGCTCTTCTAGAGTAACTGCCTGTCTTCTGGAATCTCCTCCATGCTCTTGAAACTGTGCTGGGAGACACAGCAAACCTTCTGGCAATGGCACGTATTGATGTGCCATCCTGGGAGTTGGACTGCCTGTGTAACCTCTGTAGGGTCCAGGTATCACCTCATACTACCAGTAGTGACACTGACCCTAGCCAAATGCAAAACTAGTTAAAAACAGTCATAAAAGACGAGTAGGGAAAAAAATGTCAGTGGCCTCCACCTGTAAAACCATTCCTGTTTTGGGGATTGTCTCATTGTTGCCTATCTAGTGCACCTGCTGTTAATTTCATTAACACCAGAGCAGCTGAAACTGATCAACAACCCCTTCTGCTATTTAACTGACCAGATCAATATCCCAGGAGTTTAATTGACTTGATGCTAAACTCTGATTAAAAAGTGTTCCTTTAATTTTTTTGATCAGTGTATATACACTATATTGCCAAAAGTATTGGGACACCGATCCAAATCATTGGATTTAGGTGTCCCAATCACCTCCATGGTCACAGCATAAAATCAAGCACCTAGGCATGCAGACTGCTTCTACAAACATTTGTGAAAGAATGGGTTGCTTTCAGGAACTCGGTAATAATTCAAGCAAGGCACTGTGATAGGTTGCCACCTGTGCAATAAGTCAGTGAAATTTCCTTGCTACTAAATATTCCACCGTCAACTGTTAGTGGTATTATAACAAAATGGAAGCAACTGGGAACAACAGCAACTGAGCCATGAAGCGGTAGGCCATGTAAAATGACAGATTGAGGGCAGCGCATGCTGAAGCTAACAGTGCGCAGAAGTCGCCAACTGTCTGCAGAGTCAATAGCTAAAGATCTCCAAACTTCGTGTGGCCTTCAGGTTAGCGCAACAAAAGTGCGTAGAGAGCTTCATGGAATGGGTTTCTATGGCTGAGCAGCTGCATCCAAGCCTTACATCACCAAGTGCAATGCAAAGCATCGGATGCAGTGGTGTAAAACACGCCGCCACTGGACTCTAGAGCAGTGGAGATGTCTTCTCTGGAGTGACAAATCACGCTCCTCTGTCTGGCAATCTGATGGACGTGTCTGGGTTTGACCGTTGCCTGACTGCATTGTGCCAAGTGTAAAGTTTGGTGGAGGGGGGATTATGGTGTAGGGTTGTTTTTCAGGGGTTGGGCTTAGCCCCTTCGTTCCAGTGAAGGGAACTCTTAAGGCATCAGCATACTAAGACATTTTTGACGATTTCATGCTCCCAACTTTTTGGAAACAGTTTGGGAATGGCCCCTTCCTGTTCCAACATGACTGTGCACCAGCGCACAGCAAGGTCCATAAAGACATGGATGAGTTAGTTTGGGTGGAGGAACTTGACTGGCCTGCAAAGAGTCCTGACCTCAATCCAACAGAACACCTTTGGGATGAATTGCGAGCCAGGCCTTCTCGTCCAACATCAGTGCTTGACCTCACAAATGCGCTTCCGGAAGAATGGTCAAACATTCCCATAGACACACTCCTAAACCTTGTGGGCAGCCTTCCCACAAAAGTTGAAGCTGTTATAGCTGCAAAGGGTGGACCAATTCAATATTGAACCCTATGGACTAAGACTGGGGTGCCATTAAAGTTCATGTGTGTGTAAAGGCAGGCATCCCTATACTTTTGGCAATATAATGTATATATCTGTTCAAGAGGAATCCCTACTGGCCCCAGGAGTCATCCAGGTTGCACATGCTTCTTGTAGGGGTACCCACTACCGCTCTTATCAGTACTGAGATAAACCAGTAAGAGGCCCTTTTATTGCACTTTACAAATTCACCAAGAAATCCAGTCTTTGCTAAGTGCGGATTGGCCTTCCTCATCCAAACCTTCACCCAACATTACAGAAAACAAGTGGAATAGAAAATCCTACTTGTCTGAGCTCTAACAAATAGCCATATCTCAATACTAGAAACACAAGACCCACATGTAGGGAACCCACAAGACTCTTCTTCTGACTAGACACAAGAACCCATTACGGGCTTTCACTTAAGAAATAATGCTGATTATCACACAGTGCAGCTCTGCTGTCTATTGTAAATATGGCAGCATTCTTAAAGAATTATGTGTTACATCCATCACCTTTACTACCACTGTCTCAGAGCCAGGAAAAACATATATATTATGATTGAAGTGGTTGTAAATTCTTCAATATACCCAGTGAACTGACTGGCCTCAGGTGATACACAGAAATGAAACAAATCCTCCTACAAGTTGTACCTGTTTACCTGCAGTCTTCTCTTCTCAACAGCTATTCAAAGTGCTAACTTTATAAAGCTTGTCTGAAATTCCAGAAAAAAGGGAGCAGAGCACTGAAGTTACACTCTGCAGAGCTCAGTGAGGAGAGCTCTGAGAGCTGATTGGAGGAAAGGGACACACCCCCTTCACACAGCTCACAGGAACAGAGCTAAGGCTGTCAATCAACTGGAGGTCCCTCCCTGTCACCATTTTTCTCTTGGTGTCAGGAAAACTTGTCAGAAGTGACTCATGCTGATAACAGAGGAACAAGGCAGCAGACAGAAATAACACGTAGTGGTCCCGACTGAGACAAGTACACACTATAGAGGGGTATGCTTTGTTCATATTTCATATCTGAAGTTTACAACCACTTTAAATGTCAGTGACCACCATATGCCGTGTTATTCTAGAAATCCACATTTGAACACTCCCTAAACATGACATACAGTATTTAACTGCGCAGCAGAATATAATATGTTCTTAAAAACAGGGCCAACAGTATTTAAAACAACAGGGAGTATGAGAAACAAAACCATATAGATGTGCCATCTACAGTATGTCTGCTGATCTGTCTAGATAGTCTCTGGTTCGATATCTTGGTGGTATAGGGTATAGAGGTGTGTATCTCAATCATTATAACTGCCCAGCCAAGGGTGAAGTAAAACAAGGACAGAGCTTCAGAGAACCATTGGAACCATTCCACTGTACTCTTGGTTGCCCATCCACCTAATGACTCTTCCTTTAAGTGAGAATACTAAACATCTGATATTGATGTACACTGATATACTATATCAGGAGGGAGTCTCAGTTACTGTCCTTCAGCCTTCAGGTGGCTGTATTGTGGCTGGGCAGGAGGAAGAAAATGTCCTGGGCCCAGCATCAGAATAAACATTGCCTTGGGGTTGGTGGTCAGTTACATAGTGCCAGTGGTCAGTAGGAGGAGGAATAGTGCCCCATCATTAGGTATTACTGAGAGGAATATTGCCCCCCCCATTGGTATCGTGGGGGGATTAGTACCTGATCATTGGTGTCAGCTGGAGGAATTGGGAGAAATAGTGCCTCATCATTGGTATCAGTGGGAGGAACAGTGCCCCATCATTGGTGTCAGTGGGAGAAATACTGCCCCAAGGGCCAGATAAAGGCTATCAAAGGGCCACATTCGGCACGTGTGCTGCAGTTTCCAGACCATTGTACTAGACCAGGGGTAGGCAACCTGCGGCTCTCTAGCTGTTTTAGAACTACATTTCCCATGAGACATTGCAAAATTGACAGTTACAGCTATGACTTGCAGAGGCATGATGGAACGTTTAGTCCTGCAACAGCTGGAGAGCTGCAGGTTACCTACCCCTATACTAGATCATCAGCAATAGAACAGGGCACCCTGCGATCCTTTTACTCATATCTGTCCGCAGCAGTCAGAAACTTGGACTAACCATTGGAAGTTCATTTCAATTAAATGAACACATCCCAGTAGATAAGATCTTCCTCCCCATGTGACATTTATACTAACAGTGACACCTGATGATTATTCTGTGTAACAGACATGTTTTCTCTGCTTCATTCATAGGTACATATGCGGAATCTGATTGTGCTGCACCACAAGGAGAGCCAGTGTGTAAATATTGTACTAAAGGGGTAGATTTCATGGATGAACCAAATGGCTATCCAAGGTGCGAAAAATGCCGGGATTGTGATTCTGGCTCAGGTGTGTAAATAGTAAAAGATCTATAGCTCTAAAAACACATATACTAACAAAGTGAAAATAATGTGTATTGTTGGTAAAGCAGGTAGCTCTGTTGTCTTGGTCTTATGCCAGGCAATAGGTTATACTCCTCAATAAAGAATAGGTGAAAGCTATTTTCTCGGTTTTACCATGCTTACCAAGCACTAAATACTCTACTACTTTGTTCAGTGCTATCTGTAGTGAGTGCAAATAGGCCTACAGGAGGGGAGAACATAAGGGGAATTTGTGGAAACTGGAGTTGACAGAATGTGGAGCAGCTGTGCATGGCAACCAATGAGCTTCTATCTTTATTGCTTTTAAAAAATAATATGGTTTCCAAAATACACCTGTAGCGCTACCTCCGTAGGAGCCACATAGTTTTAACTGATTCTTTCTCAAAACAGTGCAGAGACAACCAGGCACACAGCAACAGTCCATTTTCTCTGTCTCATTGAACAGTCTAGGGCAGGGGTGGGCAAACTTTTTGACTTGAGGGCCGCAATGGGTTCATATATTGGACCTGGGGGCCGGACCAAGAGTAGATGAATGATGTGTATGTGTCATCCATAGTAAGTTTAGTAATATTCCCCCATAGTAAGCATAGTAATTAATCCCCCATATAGTAATTCATCCCCCATATAGTAATTCATCCCCCATAGTAATTCATCCCCCATATAGTAATTCATCCCCCATATAGTAATTCATCCCCCATAGTAATTCATCCCCCATATAGTAATTCATCCCCCATAGTAATTCATCCCCCATATAGTAATTCATCACCCATATAGTAATTCATCCCCCATATAGTAATTCATCCCACATGTAGTAATTCATCCCCCATATAGTAATTCATCCCACATATAGTAATTCATCCCGCATAGTAATTCATCCCCCATATAGTAATTCATCCCCCATAGTAATTCATCCCCCATATGGTAATTCATCCCCACATATAGTAATTCATCCCCCATAGTAATTCATCCCCCATATAGTATTTCATCCCCCATAGTAATTCATCCCCCATATAGTAATTCATCCCCCATATAGTAATTCATCCCACATATAGTAATTCATCCCCCATAGTAATTCATCCCCCATAGTAATTCATCCCCCATAGTAATTCATCCCCCATATAGTAATCCATCCCCCATATAGTAATTCATCCCCCATATAGTAATTCATCCCCCCTATAGTAATTCACCCCCCCTATAGTAATTCATTCCCCATATTCCCCTGTGTCAATTTACTTACCTTTGCTCCGCGCGTTCCTCTCGCTGTGTTCCCGCGCCGTTCCGGTCTTCAGGGCGGACTGTGAGAGGAGCCTAGCTCCCCTCACGTTCGTCACGCTGCCCCGCCTACACACATCCTGACAGCCAATGTATCACGCTCCGCGAGCCGGATTAAAAGGTCCGCCGGGCCGTATATGGTCCGCGGGCCGTAGTTTGCCCATTGCTGGTCTAGGGGATGTCTTTATAGGCCTCATGCACACAGGACTTTTCTTTAACTTTCCTAGAACACAGCAGTTTTTTACTGAAAAAATGCCTGCCGTTTTAAAAACGCTATTACAAATGTTTAGGTGCATTTGCAGGTATTAAAAATGCTTGGGCGTTTATTCTTTTCATTGGCCTGAATAAATAATTTATTCTGGCCACTGAAATAAATTAACGCTCAAGTGCTAAACGTGCCTAGCGTTTAGACACGTTTACACGCATTTATTGCGTCAAGCATTTTTGCAGCCAAAATGTCGCTGCTCCTGGATGCCCTGGCAGTGTTTTTATTTTTCTGCCATTAAACTCTCCTGCCACAAAATGCTGCTAAAAGCATATGTGTGCATGGACACATAGGATAAGGTGCAGGAGAGTTTAGAGGCAGTACAAAAAGCACCTAATGCCCCTAGCAGTAGCTTCAAAAACACCCAGTGTGCATGAGGTCTTAAAGTTTATTTGTTTGTAGAACTTGCAGCAGGGCAGGGCTTGGGATGGTATGGGATACTTCAAGCACTTAAACACAATAGACAGAGGATACTCTTCAAGATAACTCAGTCTGTCTCTCACAGCTGAGTACATAAATTGCAGACTGAAGCAGCCTGTAATCTCACGGCTGACGACCATGAGGTAGAGTGCAGTATAAGTAAATGTAGATATGTAGACTGAAGCAGTCTCAGGGTAAAGGGTACAGTTGGTTCCCCAGATGTAGAACAGCACACAGTCACTACACCTGAGCGTGGGCAGCTGCACTCCTCCCAGCTTCAACAAGGCACTACTCAGTGAGATCTCCAGACCAGATCCTTAGCTTCAGAAGAAATCAAGAATAGCCCCTTCCCCAGCTCTGCCACAAATGGGACCTTGATGAAAATCAATATGCTCCAGCAGGATTGTCTCAAAGGGGCAGCAGTCCACAGAGGGGAATCCTCTAGACCGGGTGTCGGCAACCCGCAGCTCCGGAGCCGCATGCGGCTCTTTTTCACCTTTCCTGCGGCTCTGGAGCACACTGCCCACCAGGTGACAGGCAATAGGGTCGGCAAGCCGCGGCTCTTTTAATGCAGCTCTTCTATGTGCCGGGCGCCCGCTCCCCTCCCTCCTCCAAACATTGGCTGTCAGGATGTAGGCGGGGCAGCGTGACGAACTCCTCTCCTCTCACAGTCCGCCCTGAAGACCAGAACGGCGCGGGAACACAGCTAGAGGAACGCGCGGAGCAAAGGTAAGTGAATTGACACAGGGGGGATGAATTACTATAGGGGGGATGAATTACTATGGGGGATGAATTACTATATGGGGGATGAATTACTATGGGGGATGAATTACTATATGGGGGATGTATTACTATATGGGGGATGTATTACTATATGGGGGATGAATTACTATATGGGGGATGAATTACTATAGGGGGGATGAAATACTATAGGGGGGATGAAATACTATAGGGGGGATGAATTACTATATGGGGGATGAATTACTATATGGGGGATGAATTACTATATGGGGGATGAATTACTATGGGGGATGTATTACTATATGGGGGATGAATTACTATATGGGGGATGAATTACTATATGGGGGATGAATTAATTACTATATGGGGGATGAATTACTATGGGGGATGAATTAATGGGGGATGAATTACTATATGGGGGATGAATTACTATATGGGGGATGAATTACTATGGGGGATGAATTACTATATGGGGGATGAATTACTATATGGGGGATGAATTACTATATGGGGGATGAATTACTATGGGGGATGAATTACTATAGGGGGGATGAATTACTATAGGGGGGATGAATTACTATATGGGGGATGAATTACTATATGGGGGATGAATTACTATAGGGGGGATGAATTGCTATATGGGGATGAATTACTATGGGGGGATGAATTACTATATGGGGGATGAATTACTATGGGGGATGAATTACTATATGGGGGATGTATTTTCAGTTTTAAAAATGTTTCTCTCAAAATAAATTTCAATCGTGGTTTTGGCGAGATTTGGCTCAGTTGAAAAAAAAGGTTGCCCACCACTGACATAAGGCTATGATTGTGATTATGACGATACACTGTGGCCCTGGTTAACCCTTTGCTTACTGGGCCCTTAAACCCCCTTCATGACCAGAGCGCTTTTCGCAATATATGCAGTGTCGGATTTGTTTTAAATGTTGCAATGGTTTTGCGGCTCCCAGTCTTTTTTTTCCCTCTCGGAAACGGGTTCAAGTGGCTCTTTATGTCTTAAAGGTTGCAGACCCCTGCTCTAGACTCTAGGCTGGGGGCTCCTCTAGACCAGGGCTGCACCAGGCCTCAGATTATTTATGTCCCTCTCCAGCCACCCACTGGGCACACCTCTTCAGGGATTGGCTGCAGCATAATAAATATTCAGACTGCCAATCTAAATCTTCCAGCCCTCTGTGTTCCAGAAACCTGTAGAATCCAAGGGGGAGCAAACCTTCAGCCCCTGAGACCTAGAACAGCCCATAGAACAGCTCCAATGATTGCAGAGGAGCCAAAAAGTACTAAATTTACCTAACATCCTAGCAGCCTTTCTAGGAGGGTGCTGCACACCAAAATGGTAACACATACCTTCTTTGAAGGGTACATGAAACAAGATATTCACAGAGCAGGTACGTTTTGCATAAGTAATGGGTTCAATCAGTGACAATGACAAATCAGGGACCAAAATGAGGGAGATAAAAAGTTACCAAGACAGAGAGAGAAATGGAAAGGGCATGGAATAAAATGGACAGGGGGAAAGGACAAACCATTTAGGTTTAGATAAGGAGGGGAAGGCTACGTACATTACAGGAATCAGGAGAGAAAAAAAAACAAGGAAAACAACAACACAACCTTCAGGTGGAGAGTTGGATAAGCAGCAGAGTCAGGTGTCCTCAAACATGAGGGCTTTACCTTCCTCTGAAAATGTGAAGTCTTACCAGTACAACCAGGTCTTCCTGAAGGCTTCATGTTTATTTAGGCAGGAAAGAATAAGGTCATCCATACTGTAAATGTGATCAGCTTTTTTTACATAACCAAAGTAAGACCTAGGAGGATTGTTGTCCTTCTATTTTAGGGGAATGCATGGGTTAGCAGCAAGCGCCAAGAGATGGCAGAGGATAGCTTTCATGTACATTTTGGAGGAAATTGAAGAGTGATGTAGTAGAAAGAAGGCTGGTATATAATCATTTTTAAAGTGGTATTAAAGCTTTTTTTATTCTTTTTGTATTAAAGCTTTTTTGGTTATCTTGTCCCTTCAGGTAATCCTATAGTAAGGCTTACCTGTAAGTACTGTAAATATCTCCTAAACATGCACCATTTAGGAGATATTTACTTGTGTAACAGCCAGTGAAGTCACCAATGCATGTGCACTGTGCTCTCAATGGACAGCATGCCATCCATTGAGAGAGCTGTGCCACGGCTGTGACTCCTGCAAGCATGCACAGCAGTTACGTAATCGTGGCTCAGCCATTCAAACGGCGGGAGCCCGCAAACCTGGAAGGAAGACTGGGTGATCATGGAAGCCCTGTCAATGGGGGATAACATGTTGCTGGAGGACTTCATTTTAAGGTAAGTCTCGCATAATGTTCTAGTATGTGATGTATATTAGCACATTATTTTTTCTTTCTTTTGTTACTTTACTACCGCTTTAAAGTTTAACTGAACAAGCTAAACTTAGAGGCTGATTGGTTGTTTTGCATGACTGCTACAGATTCCATCTGCTTCAGTTTTGATACATGTCCACCAGTTACCTCTTCTGCTTCTTCTTCAATATCCAGTTGACTATAAATATCTAGGCCATTTAAACTCTCACCAACTGCCTTTCTTTGTTTTAACCAAATCATGACATATATTTTGTATTTATCAAGTTCTAAAGTGATCTTAACTGACAGCTAGAACTGTGGGGTTGATTTACTAAAACTGGAGAGTGCAACATCTGGTGCAGCTCTGCAGAGAAACCAATCAGCTTCCAGGTTTTATTATCAAAGCTTAATTGAACAAGCTGAAGTTAGAAGCTGATTCACTGCCATGCACAGCTGCACCAGATTTTGCACTTTCTAGGTTTAGTAAATCAGTCCTTTTGTGAGTGCTGGTGTACAGGTGCGCATTGGGTTTTCCTGCCATGTACAGCTTGGGGGGTTTCTTCACACCAGAAGCACCATTGTGCATTTCCACACACAATAAAATGCATAGGCAATATGACCTATTCATTGCAATGCGTTTTTTTACAGTATGATGAAAAAAGGTCCTAAAGGGCTGCATCTCTGGTGTGTTGTCCTACATTTTGCCATTTAAACAGAAATGTTGATTAAGTGTGAAGCATTTGAGAAATAATAACAGTACAACAATGCAACCTGCGTTAATGCAGGCATTCTGATGTGAACACAAAAAACACTCTCTAATATTGTTTGATTTCTATTTTTGATGATCTTTGATTGTTTTCCTTCACATATTGCAGGTCAAGAAGAGCTTCATCCATGTACAACAACCCAAAATACAGTTTGCAAATGTAAAAAAGGATTCTTCTGTTCTGAAAGTTTGTCATCAGCTGATGTGAACTGCAACCGATGTCAACACTGTAGCGAGTCAGTGGAATATATATATATATATCTTTTTAAAAAAATGTTATACTATATGTAAATTTGGCATTGGGGGTGCAGAAAAATTTGCCCCAGTCAGTATCAGGTACCACTGCTTTTAGAATGATATCCTTAATTAGGGGACCCCTCTCAAGCACTCCCCCCAATAGTGAAGGGTGTGTGGGTTGGTATCAGCATGGCAGGGGGATATCAGGCCACATTCTTACTTTGCTGGTATGCTGGGCTGATTGGGCGGAAAAGGAAGGGGGGAATTGTCTTATTTTAATATAAATTAAGATCAACACACTTCGGGCTCGTTCACACTTGGCTGTTTTACCAACGCTTGCCAAACGCCCCTATAGCATTTGGCAAGCGTTGGTCTGGCGTTTGCGGAGCGTTTTTTAATGCTCGGCAAACGCTCCGCAAACGCCGCATACGCGTTTTAGCGGCGGTTGCTAGGCGTTTGCAGAGCATTAATAACGCCCCACAAACGCCTATAATGCAGTTTGAGTGGTGTTACCGCTCTGCAAACGCCCCACAACCGCTTCGCAACTGCACCTCAAACGCCGGCCGGGAGCGGCACCATAGACGAGAATAGGAGGCTTCAAAGCCTCCTGACTCGACCAGAGGCGTCTGTTTTGCCGCAACGCGACGTGACGCAAATGCTCCTGTTAGAACAGCACCATGTGCTGTAATGTGCAGAATTGGCAGATTGGTAAAAACGCTTCCCAAACGCCTCTCCGCCACCTGCACACAACGCTAGTGTGAACGTAGCCTTAATCCTCCAAACTCAATCTGTATAAAAAGCACTCTAGATTGGCATCAACACATCCACAACCTCATATGATGCTAATGTTTACCAATCACCTGGCACATTACTAGATCACTGGCAGCTGTATTATTATGCTCATTAACTTTGTCTTCTCTGTTTTCTTGCTCATACACCCACAGTTAATATGTGAACATGAACATTACACTGCAGTCATTATTTAATAGTAAACCTCATTGGTGAAAATGTGTAAATTAAATCACCTGTTAGTAAGAGCGCTTCCTAAATCTGTCAGATCTCTTTCACTTCATATTGTATATTAATGGTCATATTTTTATTTTAGATGTGCTAACGGAATTGATGAGGAATGTACATCCACAAAAGACACCATTTGCAAAAGTGAGTTCCCCTGTTACCATCTATAACACATAAACCACAAAAGAAATTGCTCTCACCTATAGGGCAGCATACACATTGGAATAGTGTGAAGTACTTATTGTGCAATACAGCGTGTCATGGTCTAGACTAGAGTATATTATGTTCAGCATAGTGTATAGGGTGTAGCGGTCCAAAATGAATAAATTAATGAATAACAGTGTACAGAATAGCTCAGTCAGACGTATGTGAACTCACAGCACAGCGTAGTGAGTAGACAGATGGGAGTATGTAACCTACAACATAGTGTACATCATTGTACAGGCAGACGCATGACATGTAACGTGCAGCATAGTGTACAGAGTGGGACAGTCAGTTAAAGTGGTTGTAAACCTCAGACGTGAAATATGATCAAAGCATATCCCTCCATAGTGTATACTTGTCTCAATTAAGAGCACTAAGTGTAATTTCTGTCTGCTGCTTCATTCCTCTGCTATCAGCATGAATCACTTCTGACAAGTTTTCTTGACACCAAGAGAAAAATGGTGACAGGGGAAGGAACTCCAGCAGATTGACAGCCTCAGCTCTGTTCTTGTGAGCTCTTTGGAGAGGGGTGTGTCTCTTCCCTCCAATCAGCTCTCCTCACTGAGGTCTACAGAGTGTAATTTCAGCTCTCCATCCCCTTTTTTCTAAATTCTCAGAAAACTGTAAATATCCTGGACTTAGAACGGATGTAGAGAAGAGAATACTGCAGATAAACAGGTACAACATAGGTAGGAGGATGCTTTTCATCTCTTTATATCACCTGAGGCCAGTCAATCAGGATGGAAACCCCATTCTTTCAAACATAGTTTGGCATGGGCAGCCATACCTTGATGACATATGTTGGTATAAACGAGAGAATAGTGTTCTTTGCTTTAATTTATTGATTACTTAAATAACAATCAAAAAGCAGAGGTGTCCAACCTTTTGACTTTCCTGGACCACATTGGAAGAAGAAGTATTGTCTTGAGCTACACATAAAATACACTAATAATAAGGATAGCCAATGAGTGGAAAGAGTTGGGCAGATCACAAATTACCGATCACTGATATAGATAATATACCTATCTGAATAACAAAACTTCATTTTTTTGTAATAATATTTTTTTATTATAAAAGTAAAAGAGGTAACATAGAATGAGTGCCATACTTGACACTGCTTTTGATGAGCTAACGCAGCCATATCTGGTTCAATGGATGTAGCAGCAATTCTCAATGAGTTCTCAAGGTGCTCATCAAATATTTAGGTTAAAATTTTGTCCTTCATCCCCGAAAATAGTTGCTCACAAATATAGGTGCTGACGAAAACTGATGACGCGAATAAGACGTGATTGTGAAGAATAGGGGATTTTTCTTTGGAAAGATAGGACTTATAAAAGTCCAGCAAAGAGACACTGTTAAACTTTTCTTCAGCCACATGTGTTTGCTAAGTGTAAAAGCATAAACAAAAAAAATCAAGATCTTCAGGACAGTTTAGAATTTTGTGTTGGGCCGTATTCATAGCCGTCTTTGGCCACGTGCGGTCCGTGGGCTTCAGGCTGGACACCCCTGTTCTACAGCATACATGACATAAAATATATTTATTGATTTATGGCAAAACTTTACTTTTTTCCAATGTTTTTGCTTCTTTTTCAGATTTTTCAGGCAGAGCACACGCAATAGTGTGGCCAATATTAGGAGTTATTGTCTTTGCAGGAATCACTTTTGTTCTCTGTAAGTATACAAGATAAGTTCAGTAGGATTCAGACAAAGCTGTATCAATATTCCTGCCCTAAAAAGTGTAATTCACTAGATGCATTTAATATGTTGTATTGGACAAGGAATACCTGCTTAAGGACTGCCTGCAATGTACTGCGGATGGGCGACTCATGCAGGCACAGCGACTTTCTAGCATGCACCCCCCCCCCTGCTGACACCCACTGTGATTGTGCATGTGATTAGTAAACGCAGCACACATTGCACATTGTTAGGCACACACTTAACCCCTTGACCCCCTGTACAGTGGCAGTATTATCACTGATCACTTTATCAGTGTCACTGGTGATATCAGTGGCAGATAGCCAGCTCCCCCCAGCATCAGTTAGTGTTGGATTGCTAGTATAGGTTAGTATAAAAAAATCAGTTAGTATTAGAAAAAAATATTCCAATATATATACTATAGTTATATGGTTACATAGTTAGTCTGGCTGAAAAAAGATAAAAGTCCATCCATTTCAACTATATAAAAAAAAAAAAGTTATAATCCTACACCCACAGTTGATCCAGAGGAAGGCAAAAAAATCCAGCAAAGCATGATCCAATTTGCTCCTGCAGGGAAAAAATCCCTTCCTGATCTTATGAGAGGCATATTCCACTTTACATATAAATGTTAGTAACCAGTTATATTCTGTGTATCTAAGAAAGAATCCAGGCCTTTTTTGAAGCAATCCACTGAGCTGGCCAGAACCAACTCTTGAGGGAGTCTATTCCACATTTTCACAGCTCTCACTCTGAAGAAACATTTCTGTATTTGGAGATTACATTTCTTTTCCTTCAGCCGTAAAGAGTTCCCCCTTGTCCTCTGTGATGACCTCAGGGTGAATAGCTCTACACCGAGTTCACTATATGAACCACTGATGTATTTATACATGGTGATCATATCCCCCTTATGTATTATACATGTTGATCATATCCCCCCTTATGTATTATACATGTTGATCATATCCCCCCTCAATCTCCTCTTCTCAAAAGAGAATAAATTCAGTTCCTCTAATCTTTCCTCATAGCTGAGCTCCTCCATGCCTCGTATCAGTTTGGTTGCCCTTCTCTGTACTTTCTCCAGTTCCCCAATGTTCTTTTTGTGAATTGGTGCCCAAAACTGAACTGCATATTCCAGATGAGGTCTTACTAATGATTTGTACCGGGGTAATATGATATCTCTCTCTCTGGAGTCTATACCTCTTTTAATACAAGAGAGGATTTTGCTCGCTTTAGAAACCACAGCTTGGCATTGCATGCCATTGTTAAGCTTGTGATCTACCAGAACCCCCAGATCCTTGTCCACCATTGATTTTCCCCCAGTTGTACCCCCCCTAGTATGTATGATGCATGCATATTCTTATCCCCCAAGTGCAGAACCTTACATTTATCAACATTATTATTATACAGTATTTATAAAGCGCCAATAGTTCGCTCAGCGCTGTACATTACAAAGGGGGACAGAACATGTGACAGAACAATAACAATACAATGCAATCTAGGAGGGAGGGGATAGTGGCACAGGAGGAGAAAGCTGTGGGGGATGGAGTGGTAGGAAGAGTGGAGGAGGTCGGCAAGTTAGCAGGGGGTGGGGTAGGCTTCCCTGAAGAGATGGGTTTTCAGGGTGCACCTAAAGGAGAGGAGAGTAGGTGATAATCTGATGGGTTGGGGCAGGGAGTTCCAGAGGATGGGTGACACCCTGGAGAAGTCCTGGAGGCGGGCATGGGAGGAGGAGACCAGGGAACTAGAGAGAAGGAAGTCTTGTGAGGAGCAGAGTGTGCCTGTTGGGTGGTACTTGGATATTAGGTCGGTGATGTAGTTCGGGGCAGTATGGTGGACGGCTTTGTACGTCAGTGTTAGGATTTTGAATTTGATCCGTTGCGCAATCGGAAGCCAGTGGAGGGATTGGCAGAGGGGGGTGGTGGAAACGAAGCGGTTGGAAAGGTGAATGAGTCTGGCAGCTGTATTCAGAATCGACTGAAGCGGGGATAGCCAGCGGCGAGGCAGGCCAGTAAGGAGGGAGTTGCAGTAATCGAATCGTGATATGATGAGGGAGTGGATGAGCTGTTTAATGGTTTCTGGGGTTAGGAACGTGCGTATTTTGGCGATGTTTCATTTGCCACATAATTGCCCAATTAAACAGTGCATTGAGGTCGGCTTGTAAGTTGAAGACATCCTGTAAGGACGTTATTCCACTGCACAGCTTGGTGTGATCTGCGAAGACTGAAATGGGATTTTTAATCCCAGACCCTATATATCGTTTATAAATATATTAAAATATTAGTTTGTAGACACTTTCACGCAAACCAATTAGTATACACTTATTGGGTTTTTTTTTTACCAAAGACATGTAGAAGTATACATTTTGGAGAAAATTTATGAAGAAATTAGATTTTGCTAATTATTTTTTATTGGATATGTTTTATAGCAGGAAGCAAAAAATACAGTTTAAAAAAAAAAAAAATTGCGGCCATTTTTCACTTATATCGAAAAAGATAAAAAAAGATCAAATACCACTAAAAGAAAGCTCTATTTGTGTGAAAGAAAAAAATTATATAAATTTTGTTTGGGTACAATATTGCACGTATATGCAATTACCAGTTAAAGTAGCGCAGTGCCCAACAGCAAAAAATGGCCTAGTCATGAAGGGGGTAAAACCTTCTGGAGCTGAAGTGAATACTCTGCAGTTTGATCCACATCAGAGTGTATCAACATCCTATGGGACTTTCTAAGTACACACAAGTTACCACTGTATTCATAGGTTACAACATCATTTTATCAATAAATAGGCTTACAAAGCATATTTAATTTAAAAACAAAAATCAGACAGCCGATTACACAGTACATTCTCAAATATTTTTGATAAGCATTTTGTGAACCAAAGTCCACTTCTTCAGGAGAGCAAAAGAGGAATGTTTCATACACATTGGCATTTGCAAAACAGCCACTATTTATTAAAAATACACACGATGTTTGCACTAAGGTGAAACAGATCAGAGGTAGGACCTTCACAAAGTGGAGGCACAGGAGGGAGCATTCTGGGTGTTTTCTTATTTCTTCTTGCTGCAAGTTGGATTGAACTGGGGATGGTGTTAAAGTCTAATTAGGGGATTTGGAAAGCACATCTGGGATGCCTTGTTAGTCTGTTGTCCCCCCCCCGCCCCTATCCCTCTCATGGTCTCCAGGTCAGACTTTTGGCAACGCTCACTGCTGAATGATGTGTGTTTTTACAAATAGTGGCTCTTTTACAATGCTTAGGAATAGATAGATGAGCAACAATCCTCTTTTTTTCTCCTGAAGAAGTGGACTTTGGTCCATAAAATGTGCTGAGAAATTTTTATCCGCTTGGTGGATTACATCTTAGAAAAGTTCCCATTCGCCTGGTTGAGTATAGTTAACATCCAATGGATGATAAAAAGTTTATGAATCTTTATTGTAATAACATTAAAATAGATAAATACAAAACAAATATAGGTTGAACATTTGTCAAAAACCCTTATACTCTCCTGAATGTAGGTACACTGATATAAACAGTTCAGTCATCAAAATGTCATTATCAATGACCAATGCGTTGGTTTCTCTCTTCTTCAGGGACCTTAATGTCAGAGACAGTATGTATACAAGCATGAATCAAAACATTGTACTATTCAATGGTATCTACTCACAAAAACGAATTAATTCAATCAGTATCAGATATATTGAATTCAAGGACTCACAGCGTTAGTGACAAGTATAGGATTTACAGTGTCAGTGAGAAGTATAGGATTTACAGTGTCAGTGACAAGTATAGGATTTACAGTGTCAGTGAGAAGTATAGGATTTACAGTGTCAGTGACAAGTATGGGGTTTACAGTGTCAGTGAGAAGTATAGGATTAACAGTGTCAGTGAGAAGTATAGGATTTACAGTGTCAGTGAGAAGTATAGGATTTACAGTGTCAGTGAGAAGTATAAGATTTACAGTGTCAGTGAGAAGTATAGGATTTACACTGTCAGTGAGAAGTATAGGATTTACAGTGTCAGTGAGAAGTATAGGATTTACAGTGTCAGTGAGAAGTATAGGGTTTACAGTGTCAGTGAGAAGTATAGAGTTTACAGTGTCAGCGAGAAGTATAGGATTTACAGTGTCAGTGAGAAGTATAGGATTTACAGTGTCAGTGACAAGTATAGAGTTTACAGTGTCAGTGAGAAGTATAGGGTTTACAGTGTCAGTGAGAAGTATAGAGTTTACAGTGTCAGTGAGAAGTATAGGGTTTACAGTGTCAGTGAGAAGTATAGGGTTTACAGTGTCAGTGAGAAGTATAGGGTTTACAGTGTCAGTGACAAGTATAGAGTTTACAGTGTCAGTGACAAGTATAGAGTTTACAGTGTCAGTGAGAAGTATAGGGTTTACAGTGTCAGTGACAAGTATAGAGTTTACAGTGTCATTGAGAAGTATAGGATTTACAGTGTCAGTGACATGTATAGGATTTACAGTGTCAGTGACAAGTATAGGATTTACAGTGTCAGTGACAAGTATAGAGTTTACAGTGTCAGTGACAAGAATAGAGTTTACAGTGTCAGTGACAAGTATAGGGTTTACAGTGTCAGTGACAAGTATATAGAGTTTACAGTGTCAGTGACAAGTATAGGGTTTACAGTGTCAGTGAGAAGTATAGGGTTTACAGTGTCAGTGAGAAGTATCGGATTTACAGTGTCAGTGACAAGTATAGAGTTTACAGTGTCAGTGACAAGTATAGGGTTTACAGTGTCAGTGACAACAAGTATAGGGTTTACAGTGTCAGTGAGAAGTATAAAGTTTACAGTGTCATTGCGAAGTATAGGATTTACAGTGTCAGTGAGAAGTATAGGATTTACAGTGTCAGTGAGAAGTATATAGGGTTTACAGTGTCAGTGAGAAGTATAAGATTTACAGTGTCAGTGAGAAGTATAGGATTTACAGTGTCAGTGAGAAGTATAGGATTTACAGTGTCAGTGA